CCCTCCCTCCTTGAGTACACGGCAAGACAGCCACGCCCCCTCCACCACCACTAAATACAACAAGTTGTGATTAACAAGAGGTTGACAAAAACAAAATTCTAAATAGGGTAAACGAGAATTTGGAGAAAAACATAATTTAAAGCGTCAAATAACACAAGAAATATTAAAACGGGAAAGTTAATGTCAAAACATCAGTGTGATAGATGACAATGTATTGTCTTGATGACATCTCATTTTTTTCTCTCCAAATATGATGTTGAAAAAATTGCAATAGATTTCACTCTCCACATCAAGATGGCAGCGCGTTTTTGTTTTAATGACTGTTGAAACTGAAAATCTGCATGATTACAAGTACAAATGCACCCAGTTTCAAAATGGCTTGACGCCGCCATTGAAGCTTGCTCACGCCCGAGAGGTTGGAGACCGCTGACGTAGATGATCCAGGGAGTAGAGATTCTCTAGTTGAATGTGTGACAGGCTTTCCCCTATCCTGCAATGCAGAAGCCTCAGAAATAGCAGAATATTTCATCAGAGTTTGGATTAATTGAAAACAAACAGCTTGCTTGTAACAAGAACAACAATCATAATTGAGACTAGCCAATATTTCATACGAGGAGTCAAGGTTGCTCACGCTTATCTTATGAAATATGACACGATGATATCAATATCCTTCAGTATCAGCGGATTTAGTTCTTTTGATTCGTCTGTATTTTAAAATATTTTTTTTTATTTTAAACAAATGACATATCTGTGTCCATTAGCCAGGTGCCATCTCCACATTCAAGGTTGATTGTAATAGATCGCCAACACGTACGGTCTTTTGTCTTAGTGGTACAATCTCTCAGACTGCTGTTCTATAATTTTTTGATGTTATCCTCCCATTTGTATTGTAGTTTACCTCTTGCCTCTAATCTTTCCCTCCACTACAGCTTTCGCCAGAAACAATTACATTTACTTCAGCATCTCTCTTTGCACTCCAAGTTTATTCAGAATATTTGTATATATTTATATGAAAAATGAAATTTTCTTGCTATTTATCCTTATTAGGTTTAATTGACCGGCTTTGCTCATGACAGTGAAAGAAAGTCTTATTCTCATCTCGATCTCCACCGCTGCCGTATATTTAGTAGAAACTTCACAGAGGAGCGAGCGCAAGATGAGCCTTCCGTTTCTAAGTTGCTCTTGGACGCCCTCGTTTTCTAAATCCGTCTACGTCCCATTCCATTGCATGTGTGCCGATTCTCTGATTTTTGTGTTTGTATGTGTGTGTGTGTGTGTGTGTGTGTGTGTGTGTGTGTGTGTGTGTGTGTAATAATTACATTTTTATAAGGTGTGGAAGCTTGCCCTGTGTCACGGCCCGAGGTTGAATGGCAGGAGCGTCCTAGACCTGTTCCTCCCATAGTTAGCGATACCGCCACCTTAGCGCCATTTGGAGTGATGGGACAGTGACTCAAGGCATGACTTAGGGTTAAAATCAGGCATGCTGGAAGTCCCCCAAGTCTGACCGATGAAACAACAACCTTCTCTAACACCATTATCTTAAAATCCCCGTTTTAAAGGAGATATCAACAAAATCTAATTTTAAAAAAAGATTATTGCAATGGGTGTGAAAGAGAAAAAAATATTCAAAGAAATGTTTAAAATATTCAAAAGGAATATATAGCCATCGAAAGTTTACTTCTACTGATTGGTCGCGATAAATAGAAGAAATGCACAACAACCTGGCCGCCAATGTCAATGTTAAAATAAAAATTGTAGCAGCTGACAGGGGCATACAAATAAATGTAGACTAAGGCGGTTTTCCTGTTTAGTCTGGACCTATTAGGTTAGTTGCGTATCCTTTACAGGACGTTGCAGAACCAACCCCAGCATTTTTTTTTTTTTTTTTTTGGCTGTTGTGGTTTTTCTAGGCAAGTTTACGTCCAGTAGTTTGTCACTGCTTTCTGGACCGTGGGCTTTTCGATACCACTGTCAAAACGAAAGCAAGGCCCACAGCTTGGATCGAACCCGGTACCCCGGCATTACGAAGCGCAATTGCAACGCCTAAGCCACAGACGTCGAAGTCTGGACTACCGACGTGATATATTAAGGCTGAACATTTGGGACCTTTCTTTTGCCCTTCTGATGTGCCATTCGAAATGAGCTTTCTAAATTTCGAGATGAAAGCGGCATGCTGCATATGTAGATTCCATTCATCATTTCGGGGTCGCTCTATTTGCTATCATAGGGTATTACCAACAGTTGTGGCTTCTAGATCCAGCATAGGCGCCAGTCCAGGATTGGTCATGTATGTGAAATAGGAGTTACTGCCATTGTGGTGACTGCTAGACACCTTCGCATATTTTAGACCAGCCGTTTCCATTGAATGGTTGCTGTGAAAGCAAAAGAGGGGGAGGGAGGGGTGATTTAAAAAAAAAAAATCTGCGATTTTTTTTTAAAGACCACAACACTTAGTCTTTTTTTTTTTGGGTGCAATTCTCATACATACATACCGACATACACACATAAACATATATACACAAACACTTATACATAATACATACATACATACATATTCCCAAAAATTATTAATAGTACGGAGTCCGTGGCAGACTTGAAGAAGAGAGACCTGCACGTCTTGTCCAGTTGACAACCGCTGGTCTAGACCAGTGTTATTTAACATTTTCAGACCCGCCTTAAAAAACAAAAAACAAAGAGAAATACCTCCTGACAAACAAACAAAGACATATTTTATTTACTAAATCAGATTAAAAAAAAGAAAGAAGTTTTTTTATGGGATATCTGCTACTGGTCAGAGTTGGGGGAAGTTGAGGGGAGGGGGATTTAGTGGTATACTTATGACTGGAGCGTTGTTTTTGGGCTTGGAAAACATCAATTCGGAGCCTCTGCGGGGTTCACATATTAATGACATAATGGGAAATGTCGATATGATTTAGAGCAAATGTGGGGGGAACCGTTAGAAAATCACAGCGGACTGTTTGTAGGATATCTGGCTCTGCTTTGCGCCGTTTTTCCTCACTAAATAATTCATTTTAAATCAAACATTTTCTAGCACCTATTTTTTACTAGATGAGGTTTCTCCGTTTTTTTTTAATTCAGCTGAGTTTCCTTGTGTGGGTAACATTTGAAATGGGGTGGTGGGGGGGTGGGAGAGGGGGGGGGGTGGGGTGGGGTGGAGTATAGACCCACTGCTTCAAAACAAACACGTCATAAAAGTCTATTGACTAAAATTGTGTTGGAAATGGATGTGTAAGGCCGAAAAACGAAAATATTCCCGTCCTGCTGTAAACCTTAAAACAGTGCAACAACAGCCGTTTTGTTAGGGCGACAGCAGACGTGGCAGACGTTCACTGTCTTGGCGGGCAAAAACTTCACTATTATTCTCTGTTTCTCTATGCGTGTAAAGTGGAAAACCTTGTGCACGTCTTCAATAATATTGATCATGTAGGAGCAGACCTATATATTCTAGACCAACTGACACTCGGTGGGTAATGTGTTCAACATCACGACAGCTGCCTTTATTTTCGGGACTTTCCCTGGTACCCATTTAGAGCTGGGTCAACCAAGGAGCTTAAAGGACCCTTTTCCACCCCTTTAGACGTAACGGGCATATGGTGCTTGACCTATATATTAAAGATCAATCTCTTTTTGGTGGGTGATATAGTCAGCACCACGCCTTAACTTCCCAAGACTAAATATTTTACCAATTTAAGGCTGGGTCGACCAAGGCCATGTTCTAACAGTTCGCCTCCGTTCGGATTGACCCTACACGGCTACACCCTTCGGCATTCAGTGGCTGTTGTGGGCAACATTCAGTGGCTGTTGTGGGCAACATTCAGTGGCTGTTGTGGGCAACATTCAGTGGCTGTTGTGGGCAACATTCAGTGGCTGTTGTGGGCAACATTCAGTGGCTGTTGTGGGCAACATTCAGTGGCTGTTGTGGGCAACATTCAGTGGCTGTTGTGGGCAACATTCAGTGGCTGTTGTGGGCAGCATTCAGTGGCTGTTGTGGGCAACATTCAGTGGCTGTTGTGGGCAACATTCAGTGGCTGTTGTGGGCAACATTCAGTGGCTGTTGTGAGCAATATTCAGTGGCTGTTGTGGGCAACATTCAGTGGCTGTAGTAAGCAACATTCAGTGGCTGTTGTGGGCAACATTCAGTGGCTGTTGTGGGCAACATTCAGTGGCTGTTGTGGGCAACATTCAGTGGCTGTTGTGGGCAACATTCAGTGGCTGTTGTGGGCAACATTCAGTGGCTGTTGTGGGCAACATTCAGTGGCTGTTGTGGGCAACATTCAGTGGCTGTTGTGGGCAACATTCAGTGGCTGTTGTGGGCAACATTCAGTGGCTGTTGTGGGCAACATTCAGTGGCTGTTGTGGGCAACATTCAGTGGCTGTTGTGAGCAATATTCAGTGGCTGTTGTGGGCAACATTCAGTGGCTGTAGTAAGCAACATTCAGTGGCTGTTGTGGGCAACATTCAGTGGCTGTTGTGGGCAACATTCAGTGGCTGTTGTGGGCAACATTCAGTGGCTGTTGTGGGCAACATCGCAGCACCACATTTACTTCCCAGGACTTTACCTTGTACCCATTAAAAAATTGGTGGACCTGGGAACCAGAGTCCTTTTTGTTTCAGGTTCAGATCCTTCGAGTTGAATCTACGACCTTTGGGAGGCGTCTAGCCGCTACACTACAGCGGCTCCACCTTTACGTGTGATTGGTTACAGTGGTTTCTATCACATAGAACAATATTCAGATTAGGGCTATCCTCCGAATAACGGGCTTATATTATGGCGGGACTCACGAGCAGCAGCTTCCGCATCTCCTGCAGCTTTGCTCGTGAGTCCCAGCCATCTAGTTTAGCCCCAGTCCATTCTCGGCGGTGGCGGTAGTCGCCGGAAAACCGCAAATTAGGTCGCCAGAAGTGTGCAATTGACACGTCACTGAGGCCCTGTTTTTAGCCGCCATAAAATGTGCCCATTATTCGGAGGATAGCCCAGATTAGCTTTGTTGTAACATGATAGCCTCACTGCTGATGATGTCCGTTTCTACGGCATCGCCACCAATGACATGCTCGCGATTGGACGACTCGCAGACGTACTGGATGTAACCGCTGTCATGCAAGTTGGAGAATTGGTCTTTTTTTTTACAGCAACATCCGCAGAAGAACTGCAGGTAGAGATCCCTGAAAGCTTTGCCGAATATGAAATATGTCACACAATTCGTGGCAAAGTTGGAGTAGTATAGTAGCTCGAACATCCGTTGGAGGCGTAGTTCGTGTAGATAGAGGGTGGGTCTCAGGTCTAGAAACTCGGCGAAAAGTAGGCGGAGTCTGATGGTGTGACTTGGCGTATGGAGGGCGATGAAAGTGATTGACACTGCTAACAGCATGGCTGTGACACGCCCATACGGAGATAAGCAGAAAAAGTGTATGTGCCTTTGTCGCCCTGAAAGGTGGGAAAAAAGAGATAATAAATCAATTAGCAAACATCATTAAGTTTTCATTTTACTTTAACACTAAACCTGGGAACTGTCTACTGCATGAAGACAGAGAGTGCGCAGTATTGTGGGTGTCTTTTCACATGGGTAATATGCTGAGACTTCAATCTTCAATAGTTTGTGTACATCGCTATGCAGTCCGCTTATTTTTTTCAGTTCACAATCTGAATACGATGGATTACTGACACACACAATTTGTGATGGCGACAGTTATAAACTTCAAAACTGACGTCCTCTCAATTTTAGAGAAAAAAAAATATGTCGGCACAGAGTAATGGAATATGACATGATATAACAGTAGGAGGGACATTTCGAACCTAATACCCTATATTTTATCCCACAGCCATTATGACAAGAGAAGAATGAAATTTTGAACTCATGATATAACTGTAGGAGGGACATTCCAGAAGTAATACCCCAAGTTTTATCCCAGAGCCATTAAGACAGCAGAAGAATGACATTTTGAACTCTTCAAAATTGAAAATGCGTGTGTTGTACACGTGACATGGCATCACAGTCTGCAAAAAAGACTAGCTACAAAAATCCGTTTAAAATGACAGAGAAGGAAACTGCGTTACACACAGGGATTTATTGTAGAATTTCTGATTATGAAATAAGAGACTGATCGTACATTCGTAAATGTTTGTGTGTTGTGTATGGGAAGCGTATGTTCAATAGGAGTATCGTCTGTCTTCAGAGTCATAGAGTTATAGCTTAAGAAAATGCAGAGCCAGGAGTAATAATGTTACCCATCATGTGAAAAACCGGCTACGTGAGCTGGACAGCGATGTATACAGACATTGTGGGAATTCCCTTGTTTTCTGTAGCCTAATGTCACGGGACGGGACCGGTAATGTATAGATAAAGAGAACGCATGAAGGACATAATGACTTATATTTTCAATGGATTTGATCAACTTGACGCAAATAGTGTGTTGGAGAAGAAAACTGCAAGGCATTACTTTCTTAACGCCTTCCTTAATGACTCGCAAAATTGCTTCGGAAATAAAATATTGCGTCACAATCAAGTAGAGGGGGTGCTTTGCTTGACAAGACCCATGTCTAAAGCACAGTATGGAAGTTCAGCCCTAGATATGTAAGTGTGTGGATCTATGAACAGGCTAACCGTAAATTGCTGTCGTCCTCTGGACGCTGAGCTGCATTATAATTCAGCCTATGCAGTGATGGCGTTTGGAATCAAGTGGATAGTGTACCAGATAAGACAAGGAAATGATACCCTTCTAGTTTAATATCTGTGTGAGAAACGAATAATAAGGTTACGAGACAAATGGCCATGGCTGGACATTACAGATCAACAAGAAGACATGACCACTAGTTCTTCATGGCGTGGACTAAAGGAAGATGTCACCGAAACTACAGATCAACAAGAAGACATGACCACTAGTTCTTCATGGCGTGGACTAAAGGAAGATGTCACCGAAACTACAGATCAACAAGAAGACATGACCACTAGTTCTTCATGGCGTGGACTAAAGGAAGATGTCACCGAAACTACAGAGCAGGAAGAAGACATGACCACTAGTTCTTCATGGCGTGGACTAAAGGAAGATGTCACCGAAACTACAGATCAACAAGAAGACATGACCACTAGTTCTTCATGGCGTGGACTAAAGGAAGATGTCACCGAAACTACAGATCAACAAGAAGACATGACCACTAGTTCTTCATGGCGTGGACTAAAGGAAGATGTCACCGAAACTACAGAGCAGGAAGAAGACATGACCACTAGTTCTTCATGGCGTGGACTAAAGGAAGATGTCACCGAAACTACAGAGCAAGAAGAAGACATGTGAAAAACAAAAAAGGTCGACAATAAAAATTCACAGAGATTAACGCGACTGACAGAGGGAAAACTCAGATCAAAGGACAAGGGAAAAGGAGAGCGAAACAAGAATAACAAGAACAAACAGACGGAGAGTTGTGCAGGGAGAAACATATATAGGTAGAGAGACAGACGACTGACAGACAGGCAGATAGAAAGAAAGACACAAAAACACAGACAGAAACACAGACATACGGACAGACATGTAAATATAAGGAAAGGCAGATATGTAGACATATATACTGACAGAGAGGGAGACTGACAAATGTACAGACAGATAGGCAGACAAGTAGATACATAGATATATCAAACAGACAGGCAGGCAGGCAGACGGGCAGACAAACAGACCGAGCGACCGACCGACAGACCGACCGACCGACAGACAGACAGACAGACAGACAGACAGACAGACAGACAGACAGACAGACAGACAGACAGACAGACAGACAGACAGACAGACAGACAGACAGACAGACAGACAGACAGACAGACAGACAGACAGACAGACAGACAGACAGACAGGCAGGCAGACGAAAACACTGCAAAGCATATTTACATTCACTTATAGCATGTTAACATTAAAGACGAAGAGACAGCAAGAAACAGCGAATGACATAACCGACAAAAAGGTAGTACAAGAGAAATACTTTAACTTATTCCAAACAGCTGCAGACGACAGACAGTAAAAGAAACAAAAAGTTAACTTGACCCCGGTCTCCACAATAATGGCCTTAAGATATAGGGGAATTAGAAGAGAAGCGGAAATCAACACATCTTCCAAATGTCGGTCGCGACTCCAAATCTGGATTTAAACACTGGCTCTATCACCCCATTAGTGTCAATCGTCAACTGGAGTTAGCAAGGAAACAAAGATTTAAAAAAAAAATCAAGTACTTCTTGATGAATTCGGTATTCTATCGTTCCTTTTCTTAGGAAGTTGAAGTACAGATGCCTGAGAGGCAAGGAACAAAGATTCTGCGTATGAAAAAGCCAGATTTGTAAAACCGATGAAGTTTACAGCGGTGAGCGCCACAAAAGATGTTCTATCATATTTTCGTTCTGCCCTAGTTTCTCCCACAGCCGATTGACCCAATTTGTCGTCTAATGACAATGAGAAAGATAGGAAATTAAAGTATAATCTGATATATGCCACTGAGGAATATAATCAGTCATCACAATGTGTCTGGCTGATGAGCGTTAACTGCCATATTTCTCCATCTAATGTGATCACCACAATCAAAGATAAGGTCTGTGTTCTTGTTTCGCCCCAATCCATATGGTTAAGCCACCATGTATTTATTTCAATGTCTTCTCCACTTTTTCTTTTTATCAAACTTGCCGCAACTCTTTCTTCTCGTATCGTATCAGAAAAACAGCGACGTATCATCAAGGGAATATACAGTAACCAAACCCAGATACACACAGAGATGCGTGCATTCCTACGACATTTTGAAAAGGCACAGGCTATTTTCGAATAGAACAAATATGATAGAGTGCACAAATGTAAGACAGGGACAAGGCAACCAGAAAAATGTCAACAACCATTCGACCAGACAATGACTCAGATGTAGTTAAGATAACCACTTGCTGCAGAATGCCAGATGACATTAAAATAAGTTAGAAATAAATTTAGTCACCACTTTCTTTTAAGTATGTCGGTCAATTCACTGAAATATATATGAGACAAGAAAGTCGTCACTTTAATCGATATTCGTTCTCTTCGTTAGATCTTTGTCGTTATCTCCTTATATCCCTGTTTCGGGACTCTAAACGCGTTGATCAGACGTCAGATGCAACGAGAGTACATGCCCCTGAGGCGGTTGGACACCTACTTTGTCTGTGTCTGTTACATTAGAACTGGCATGTGATTCAGATAATGGCTAATTCATACAGACCGACGGATTGAAGTCTGTAACACAATCTTCACCGGCAGCTCATCAAGAAGATTGTAGATTCCAGGATCACTCTCCTACCTAAGAGATCTGAGACGGGCTTCTAAAACTACTCAATCTGTTAACGCCGGGGGCGTTTTTGGTGAATTCAGTGTGATCCCTTAGTTTAGACATGTTTCGTCTGCTTTGTATGTTTGATTTTCTCTTTAGAATTCCTTTCGTTTCTACGGATGTCTTTATAAGTGATCCAGCTTTCTCGAGGATATTTTCTTCTTGTTCTGCTCCTTGAACCTAAAAGGGCGGTTGGTACGTTAGGTTGCAGTTTATAACTAGACTACGATAACTGCACATTTCGGCCCGACACATATTTCACCAAACCCTAATGTGTCGTCTTTTACGGCATAATTGCTAGTGGGTAGTGGCTGTGTTCCTTCTCCTTCCCCCCCCCCCCCTCTCTTCATAAAAAGGAACGCCACACGAGGATCCTACAGATGTAAAACTTTGAGAACTCAATTAAAATGCCCGTATTCACCAGTAATCATAGGAATCCAATACTTTTTATTGAGAAACACACGCCCGAGATTCTACTGCGAGAAAGCATTCAAGGCTGTCTATATTTCACTCAAAACAACCTGAGGCCTAGACCTTGCGAATGATTTTTTCTTCTGATTCACTCACTGAATCAGAAGCAAAATAAATTAAATATGTTTCATGCGAGACCACAGTAACTAGATCTCAAAATCCAAGTGGGAAAGACAAAGATAATGATAAAAAAATCAGGCAAATAGTAATCTAATTTCTCATAATGACATCCCATTAAAAAAACGTGGTATCACACCCTCATTTGGACAGCAACTTTGGCAAAGATAGAGGAGCTGTTAGAAAATAGCTATTGAAATATGAATAGGAAAGGAAAGAGGATTTTTTATAGCACTGTGGAAGTTATTGAAGGCAAGAGAAATAAAAAGTAATACTGAACTTAAAATGTTAAATTATAATGTTATTACAGTATTGCTGCATGGATGAAAACTACTAAAACAATGACTTATGAACTACAGACATTCATTAACTGGTGTTTTGTTCATCAAATATCCCCATCATTGAGAACGTCAAAACCAAATTGTGACCAAATGAAATTAGGGCCGAAACATTCTAAAGAAAATGTTCCTATGACAACATATCTCAATCGTTGGTCTGTAGACAACTGATCTTTC